CTCGCTGCGCTCGGTGCGCGCCTTCTGCCGGGAGCTGCTGCAGGTGGGCCGCCCGGGACCGCGCCCTCGGCCTTCGGTTCGCCTTCTCGTCCCCTTCTCCGGAGCGGGGGCGCCCTTACTGTCTGGGCGAAGTTGACACCGCCCTGACTAGACTTTGGCGCATCTCCAACGGGGTGGAGTTTGGAATCCTAGGGAACGTACTCCAGTGACGGGGAGTAAAATACTAGAATACCTAACATTACTGAGCGTTTCCTGTGTGCCAAGCATTTCAGCTACTTTTTTGAGTTTTAAGTGAAAATAAGTGCCTTGGTTGTTGTCTTTGGGTCTTCACAGTAATCCTGTGAGGCAGACGTATTCTCCATTCTATAACTGAGGAAACTGAGGCATAACAAGGCTGACTTACCTGTGGTGTATCTTTGGAGCCCTTTAGCCCCTTCGAAGGGTGCAGATTCCTCTGGGCAAATGATAAATAGCATTCCACTCTGGTGGAGACTGAGTGAAGTTAAAGAACTTGCAGAGGCGACTTGAGAGATTTGAAGCCAGTTGCACAGGGAATGTGTCTGTATGAAAGAGTGAGCTTGAAGTAGAGAGATTCCCACATTTTCTAAGTTTTTCATGGTGTCCTTAGGCCAAAAGAAATATTAATACAAGTTTATAAGAATTAGGTCCAAATAATTAGTAGGTATTTATGTCCTAACAGCTCAGTGGCATCTTGAAAACTAATATACGTAATTCCAATCAAAAAATAAAAATGATACCTTTATTGCATGCTTACCCATAATTACCTGTGTTAATGTGCCTGCCTGCTAATCACTGCACCAACTCATTCAACCTTGAATGAAATTCGGTATGGCTGCCCTTGTTTCCGGTTTTACGTGGATTTTAGCCTTGGCTTTTTTTCTTATAATATAATATCTGATAAGTTCCACAAAGAAATTACCTCATTAGAGGAGTATAGAATGTGAACCACCTGGAGCTAGTAATTTTTAGATACTAAGCAAAATATCATTGCTTCCCTTGAAATTGTAAAATATTCTAGGAGGGTGTTTGTGCTGCTCTGCTCTCAAACATCTTGTTTCAGTTTGAGGAAGTTGGGGTTTTTTGTTGTTATTGCCTGTATTTCATTATATAATAGTAACTGAGAATTTTGGAAGCATTGGAAGTGGATCTTCCTGTTTTTCATTAAAATATGGATGGGGCTGGGTATGCTTTTTGTACCTGACACGTTTGCTAATTTGAGAACTCCAGACAACCAATTAAAAAGTAAGGACACAAATAAGTAAGTTGTCCTTGCTTCTGTTCACCTTCCTGCCTGGCTGTGAAGTTCAGTGACTAGAAGAAAAAAATGGAAGTGTAGGCATCCCACAGATTGGCATTCTTGGTATTTATGTCCTTTATCTCCTAGAATTTAAAAAATAGTAAATGATAAAGTCTTAAAATAACACAAGCCAAGCAAAGAGTGATGGCCCAGAAATGATTAATTCAGGAAACCTTTCCAAAGGATTAGTGGAAAAGAACACTCCTTTCTTTCCTCCCATGGGTGAACTCTTGCCTTCTTTTTGAAGTTGACTTGGAAAACCTAAAAGTTCTTACACAGGCCAGAATGAGAAATAGGTAATCTTCTGACAGGTAGGCTTTGATAAAAGTTGTGAAATTTAGCACATTTTTCTTTTAGCTTGTACTTGGGAAAGGGCCAGTGAAGCTTGAAATTTGACCTGGAATTAATTTAATCATGAGCCAGCACTGTATCTTTACACCTGGAACATATACCTTCTCTGCCCGTTAAGAGGCATAGAAGAGCCAGAAAAGGGCTAGAGAGGACCAATTTACATAATTTCAGGAATGAGAAGACTTCTCTATAAGAACTGTCTAAATCTTAGTTTGGGAACATGCAGGAATATACATATGATCAAAGTAGAAAGTTCTATGTGGATATCCTAAATGAGGGCCCACTGAAGCGTGAAAGATAGTTTCCACACAGGAATGAATAACAGAATTTAAAGGTCTCCTTGATCATGTGCCCATTCCCCAGTCCTGTTGTGAGCCTCATTTATGAGTCCCAATGTTTCTAATATTTTTATATTCCCTTATTTTCTTTTCTTAGTTTTGCTTTGCTTTATTTGTGAGGTGTTTTCCCGTGTTATGTTTGTATCCCTGACTTTCGCTGTTGCTTGTCCCAGTTTTAAGGAAATGCCTTTTAAGTGACTCGTGTGTTCCCGTAGTACCTTTACACTTAGAGAAGGACAATGGAAAGTGATCTTAACCTTGCCTCTGGAGTTTGTACTACTATGTTTAGGAGTAACCACGCTGACCTTTCTTCTGTGTGTATGATCTCTAGCTCTTCTTGACCTTAGCTGTGTTTTAAAAGTCCCAGTTTGAAAGCCAAAGTAGCTTTCTAATTAAGAGAAGGGGCACTGATGTCAGAAAATTATCCCTTACTCTCAGATTCTTTGCTGTGTCACTTAGGTAGGAGCTCTGTGAGACTGGGTTAAAAAAAACCTGGCTTCTGGTTCAGTTTGCTTATGGAGTTACTGGGAGTAGATTAGGTTGAATATGCAAAGCAGAGGGCCACACCCATGTTAAACATAAGTCTTTTCCATTTTCCTCTTAATTGTTAAAATTTCATAAAAGTGATTTTATGGACTTTTAGTATATGCAATAATTTCTAAAATTATAGGTGCATTTATTGTGATTTTGATAGAACCTCGGGATTAATGTGATAGACTCCAAATTGCTATTTTCCAAGTTTAGCTGAAGTCAAAGAGAGAAATCTGGACTCATTCTGTTTTAAGAAAGGTCTTTGAACTGATGAGATAATCAGCTTCTCCACTAAACACCTGGTACACATATTTGTAATCATTAAGTTACTAAAGCATAAGACCAGAAATGGAGTCTCAGATGAAGTTTCTGCCTCTTTCACTGGCAGATTTCTGTGGGTATTTTCATATTATTTTAATAAGTGAGAAAAAGGAGCCTTGAGTAACATTATGAATACCAGTTTAAGGAATATCCTGCAAAGGAGTTGCTGCCTCACTACTTAAAGGCAAAACTGGCAGAGTTTCAAGTAGTTCTTAAATCCGCAGGCTAAAAACTGAAATACTTTGAGTTTCCAGTTTCCTTTTTATTGAAATGTATTTACATGAAATGAGCATTTAAAGACCTGTGTTCATAATGCTTCCATTCTCTTTAATATTTAAAGGAGGAGCCGAGGCTAGATGTCTTGATCAATAACGCAGGGGTCTTCCAATGTCCGTATATGAAGACTGAAGATGGGTTTGAGATGCAGTTTGGAGTGAATCATCTGGGACACTTCCTTCTCACCAATCTTCTTCTTGGACTCCTCAAAAGTTCAGCTCCAAGCAGGATTGTGGTCGTTTCTTCCAAGCTTTATAAGTATGGAGATATTAACTTTGAAGACTTAAACAGTGAACAAAGCTATAATAAAAGTTTCTGTTACAGCCGAAGCAAACTGGCAAACATTCTTTTTACCAGAGAGCTAGCCCGCCGCCTAGAAGGCACCAACGTTACAGTCAACGTGTTACATCCCGGAATTGTACGGACTAATCTTGGCAGGCACATACACATTCCACTGCTGGCCAAACCACTTTTCAATTTGGTGTCATGGGCTTTCTTCAAAACTCCACTCGAAGGTGCCCAGACTTCCATCTATTTAGCTTCTTCACCTGACGTAGAAGGTGTGTCGGGAAAGTACTTTGGAGACTGCAAGGAAGAAGAATTGTTACCCAAAGCTATGGATGAGTCTATAGCAAGAAAACTCTGGGATATTAGTGAAGTGATGGTTGGCATATTAAAGTAGGAGCCAAGTAGTAAAGAGCTGTTTATAAAAATGTATCAATTATTTTTGTGGTCAAGAATTGTGTGACTTGAAGCTACTTGAAAAATTTGGTTCTATAATAGCACTGCCAGGAGCTATCTGTGCATATGTTGAAGTTACTGTAGAGTTATTTGTGGACAATTTCAACAGATGTTTAAAATATATATGGGTGTGTGTGTAATGCATATTACAGTAATCTTAAATATTCAAGTATAGACTACAGATTTTGCAACAAAATAATTAATCGGGGTTATCAGATAATCTGAGTTTCGTGGCTAATGTGTATTTTACAATGACAATTTTTGTATGGAAGTAATATGCCTTGTATGTGCTTCCAACTCTTCACTTGGAATAAATTTGCTGGTGCAGATTCCTCGTTGTGTGTTTTTTCAGAAAGCAGTCCTTTGTCATGTCATGAGCTTCTCCACGCTCCTCTTGCCCCTTCTTACATACTGCTCTGAGAGATAACATATCCAATACCCAAGTCTGTGTCACATCCATGCTTCAAAACCTGTGATGGTTTTCAGTTGCCCATTAACAGATGGTTTTTCATCCCTCCCCGCTTTGGGCTGTAGACTTCTTTCTGTAAAAGGAATCTTTTACTCAAATGTTAAATAGGTTACAGCAAGGCTGTAGGGCTGGAGTCCAAAAGGGCTATTTCGAAAGGATCTTTGCAGAATATAGTAGTTTATAAGTGATGATTTAAAGCTTCTGACCTGACAACAGGAATGCCTTGTCCTTTATGATAATGGAAAACACTGTCCACATAATCCAGTATGGTAGTCTCAACATGTGGACACTTGAGTAGAAGGTCTAGTTATGCAGACCTTGGATAGTGCCTCTCTGGTCCTGCCATGTGGTTTCCTGGAAAAGTGACCAGCTCTTGCCTCTAGGCTGTATATTTGCGGTCTGGAGTATGTTATTTTCCTTGGCAATAGACTTACTCTAGAGCAGCAGCGGTGAACCTGTGGCACCTGTTACACTGTACTTTTCTTTAAGATAAAAGATGATACTTTAGGGTTGTCTTCTAAAACCTCAGAATGCAGGCTTAACTGCAGATAGACTTACTCTAGAGCAGCAGCGGTGAACCTGTGGCACCTGTTACACTGTACTTTAAGATAAAAGATGATACTTTAGGGTTGTCTTCTAAAACCTCAGAATGCAGGCTTAACTGCAGGGTGGAACTCTGCAATGAATAAGTGGGTTTTGGGGTGCAGTTTGTTACTTGGTCTGACAGGTTCACTCACTGCCTTAGAGGTTCCTCTAACTTGTGCTCCTTTCTCCAGTCTCCAGGCAGAAACAATTCTCTTCTACTTTGCATCCATTGGTCCTGGTAACTTTGCTTAAAGTGTAGTAATTACTCATTCAACCCAATTAAGACAATTGGCATAATACTTTTCCAAGGAAAATGATGTGTTGCTATTAGTTTTTCTTCTTCAAGAATCAAGGTATAGTCCCTGACAGGGAGTAAAAAATAATGGTGTGAATGGAAATAGTTGAGCCAAGATAGGGATATGTTAGGCATCTACAGTGGTCCACACGTTATAGTTTCACAAGTATCTTCTTTAAAATTTCAGTTGTTTCTCTTGTCATTTTTTAATACTGGAAAAGAACTTATTGCCTTCATGGAAGAGCGCTCCATTGTATTGGCCATTGTGGCCATGGGCTAATCTTTGATTATTTTTTAAACAATATCTGGTTATAAGTATCAGTTAGTTCTTTTCAAGAATGGCAGAATTTTGTCAACTCACACTGAAGGCGTTTCTATTTAGAGCACTGTGCTCTGAGTATGAGAGACATTATCATCACAGGTGTGTCTCTGCAGGTATAGTGGGCATAGCTGCATTGTGTTCTTTGAAACATTGTATTTTAAAAAGTAATCCCATAGAAAGACCTACTGAACTTAGAAATATGGGCAGGAAATACACCAGCGTGCAACTTGGAAAAATGGAAGCTAATAAATCTGTCCTACACCTTACTTCATTAAAAAAGAGCCCCTTCTTTCATTTAATACCATCTTTTCTGGCTGCATTTTGATATCTGATACTTTTCAGGTGATTTGGACTTTTTTTTGTTTGTGGCACCACAATAAAATAAAATAGAATTTATTAATTTGTCATGATGGAAAACCAGAAACTTATCTGGAATCACCAACTATCAAGGTAAAATAAGCTGCCATTTGGAAGATGTTCTCACCATCACAGTGTTGACAATCAAAAACTGGAAAGGACAGTCTGCCTGTTGGATTTTGAAGACTAACAGGCTTTGCCTCTTCTAACCATTTTACTGGGCAATAAAACAGGAAAAGAATTCTGTTACTTTGATACCTATTCTCATCCTTCTCCCTCAAAAATCAAAGTATAGTGCCTAAGGGAGTAAAAAATTAAATAATAAATGAGTGGTGTGAATAAAAATAGTTGAGCAAAATATTGGTAGAGAGAAGCCTGCACTGTGGCATATAATGAATGGAATAGTGAATTAAAAATCATGTCTTCCTTTTTGTTTTTGTTTTTAAACTGACTCCAGTTTCAAACATCTTGTTCCAAGAAGGGATGAGATTGCTGGGCCTTTGCTTCAACTTCGTGCAGAGCAACTATTTTATACAGTGGGGTTCTAGGTAGCATTTGATTAGGAAGAAGATTTCACTTCTTAAACACGATCACATTAGTTTTAACAAACAGCTCCCCAAATTAATTTCCTGGTGAACTTGACAAGACATTGAACCTCTCTGAGCTCTTGTTTCCTTGGCTTTATTATTGATGTATACATGCCGACATCAAAGGATTGTTCACTAAAGGAAAGGGACAGAGTAGCAAAGCATTTAGCCAAAGTGCCCAGCACATACAACACACACCCTTGTGTCCTCCTCAGTGTATCTAATCACTGCTGTCAGTAGGAATGGAAAGTAGCTATAGTAGTGGTCAGGTGAGTATTTATGTGGAAAGTAGACTCCAAACCACAGATTTTATATATATTTTTTAAGCCAGATTATAAATATCTAAGGTCTTATGAGCCAGATACAGCACATTTCATAGTGTTATATCATGTGCATTGAACGCCTCTTCCTCTAGAAGGCTGCTGCTGTTTCCTGTATCGTTTCTAATCTGTGACCATTTGTTTGTAGACCCATGACATTAGAGAGTGTATTTTTTAACGTATCTCCAGCTCTAGCTTCTGCTGTGAGAAACAGCAGTTATTTCCCTCCACCTCTCCCCTGACAAACCTGCTGGGCCTGGCCAGAGATCTGAGAGCATCTAGATTGGAATATGTAATCAATTCCAAATGTCCTAGGAATACTGGAGAGAGAACATGTTACTAATCACCCTTCAGGAACTCGGCCCTCACGGACAGCTTCAGAAGTCTAACAAACCTTCTGTGGACAGCGGGGAGTTAAATTAGTCACAGTTTAACATGGAGGAAGGCATTTAATTCCTCAAGGTAAGTGAAAAGCCAAGCTGCTTTATGCAGAGAGGTTTTGTAAGCCACGTGTTTAATCAAAGTACAGTAGAATCACTTGTAAGCAACTACCGCCTAAAGGACTTGCTTTGATAACTGATGCTCCATTCTCTCTAAAATAACAAAACTTTTAAAAACTGACGGATCCCCATAGGATGCAAATGGTCCGCCAGTGGTGGTGAGCACAGTACAGTGGCTGTCAGTTCTCCTTGGAAGCTCTAAGAGGTTCACCAACCCTGCGCCCTTTGGCTGACAGCTCCTCTCTGTCACACTCCACAGCCTTGGCTTCCTTCTGCTCTGCTGTATACTTCAGAAGAGTGAGCTGTGTACCACTCATTTAACAAATATTTGTCGTGTGCCTTTTATATGGCAAAACATTATCTTTGTGTCTGGGATTCAGCAAGCAGAGGAGAAACCCACCCCAGCTTGTGTGTGCGTGCGTGTGTTAGCTAAAGTTGTTACTAAGCATAATACAAGTCAGTAATTATCACCCAAACCAATAAAATAAGAAACAATTTCTACAAGGAGCTGAGTGCTTTGCAACAACTAAAGGCAGATCACTAGAAATGTACTGTTCAATAAAGCTTCAAACTGTCATACAGGAAACATAAACATTGTAAAAAATAAGATATGTGTCTTTGGTACTTGCAAATGACTTTAAACTTTGAGCATTTTAAAGACAAAAAAGTACACTATACTGTTTGAGTATAATATAAGAAGGCGGAATTCCAAGAGGGTCTATGCTCAAAAACTTGACAAAGATGGCAAATATTCCTTAGTCTTAGATCAGAAAACAGGCAGATGAATGAACATGCTGTGCTTTAAGTTCAGATAACAGTTTTGTCTGAGTCATCCTTGGGAGTCATCCTTAGGAGCTTCCCTTTTAACCCACTTTTTCATGTAAGCAGCCAGTTTCAAATGAGGGCTTATATTGTTTTAAATAGAGCTAACACTGACATGTCAGAAGTTTCATTTTGGAGGAATTGGCAATAAGTGCTTTCTATGTAGTCAGTCATATTTTCCCGAAGACTTCTCTTCTAAATTTGGGAATTATAGTATTTTTACTTTGAAATGTACAAATGTGCTGAATTGATTGTTTGATATATGTGCTCCTGAAGTGTTTTTGCAGCTGGTCCTTAAGATTTAATTTCATTATCAGCTTTGCTTCTCTCCCTCATTTTCAAAGCCAGCACTAATTATGTTAAATAGGTGAGTTCCTGAATATTTTAAGAGCTATTAGTCAGTGTGTCCTTTTGCCTTGAGGATTTGCCATGTTGTATCTGATGTATTATGGCCCAGTCAGTCCAAAGTTGTGGGTATTTAAGTCAATTAAGAAACAACCACAAAAAAGATGTCCCTACCTTTCCGTATAAACTTAGACTTTTAAAAAGCACTTGTACGCACCCCACCCCCTTTAGCATATCTCCCTGATTCACAGATCTAGGTGGTTCTGTGGCTATTAGCAGAATGCAATTGATTCTAGGCCCCCCTAATACTCCCCATATGTGCTACCATGAGAGTAGTAAGATGAATAAGTCAAATTTGAAGTTATAAACAAATTGAAAGATTTTTATCTGTGCAGACCTATATCATTTTGGCATTTTCAGTGTATCTTGAAGGTGTACACATGGTTTGAGGACATGCTGCACCAGGGGAAATGCATCATAGTTATTGGTCTGTGAGAAAAAGCAAAGCAAGCTTCTGCCACCAGCCCATGAAAGCACAGGAAATGCCTTCATGTAGTAAGTGTCCCGGGTCCAAGCAATCTGTTGACAGAAAGGGGCTCTACCCAGGGGTTTTGTGTTAATGTAATCAAACACTTCAGAAGGCAGCCCAGCAAGCTCTCGAGTCCACCCACCTCAGAGTTTATCTTTAGCTCATCTGGAAGAGTTTATTTTAAACACTG